TTAGTTTATATTTAACGATAGTAACGAGGCTAAAGTCGTCCTTAGGTATGCTCTAAATATTAATAGCGTTAGTATAAAACTATTAGGTCCTATAGTATTATTATAATATTTAAGTACTATTTAGAAGTATTTGTTATTAATAAAATTAGGATTTTCTTTTTTAATAATATTAAACGCCCTTTTTAATTATTAATATACCCTTTTTACTTTTTTAATATTATAATACGCTTTTATAAATACGATTTTTAACTATATATTATAAGCTATTATATTTTTTTTAAATTTTATTAACTTAAAACTCGTGTTAGTATCGGTTTTAATACTATTTAGTAATCCTTAGTATATATTAATTTAGCTTTTTTATAAGGCTATTTATACTATTTTTATTTATAAATCTTAGAGGAATTACCTTATTTAAAATAATATAGCCTCGTTAATTATATATAGGACTAGTTAATTATTTAAATAGAAGATATTAATAACGATTTCTTAATTAAAGTTAAGCTTATTACGTAATTTAAATTTGAATTTACGTGGGCTCTGCGTATTTATTTAGTATTAATAATATATTTTTATTAACTACTTTAGCGCCCCTATTTTAATATCCTTATTATTTAATTATTTTAGGAGGTTATATAGCCTCGTAATTAATAAGTACCTAAATTTTTAATATAGTTATTTAAGCTTATTTTTTATTAAGTAATTAATTAACTTCGTATTATTAATAAGCTTTATAAATACGTACCCCTATTATTATTTAACTATTTTAAAATACTTATTACTAGAGATTTTATTTTTTATATTATTAAATATAATACCTAGTTAATCTATATTTTTTAAATATAAGAGAAATAGGGTATTAATAAGTAAAATATAAAAAGTTATTATTCCGAAGTACGTCTCTACTTTTATTATACTTAGGGTAATAATTTCTTTACTTAAGCTAAAGCTAATTTTTATAATACTTATTATTAACGTATTAAGTATTACTAATACGATTTTTTTTAGTACTTAGAATTACCCCTTTCTTCTTATTAATTATTATAATACCTTAGTATTTAAAATAATCTTATAGAAATTATTTAGGCCGTACCTTTTACTTATATAAAATACTTATATAGGCTTAGTATTTAAATAATTTAGGTAGTATAAAAAGGACCCCTCTAGCTACCCCTAGAATTACTCAGTACTATTTTTTTCTTTAATATTAATAAAGGTAATATTTTTTTTTAAACGTTAAAAAAATAGAATTCTGTATTATTAGATTTATTTTTTTATTTACTTCTATATCCGTTATCTAAAGGACTTTTTCTTATTATTTATAAATAAAAGCCTATTTATTAAGAGCTTTTATTACTTTTTATTTATTTAGTTTTATATATTTTTTAAAAACTAATAATATAAAAAATAAGTAGTTAATATTATTAATTTTATTATAATTTAATTTATTAATATAGGGAGCGAGATCTTTTTTATTTTTCAAATTTTTTAGGGGGGGCGGATATTTTAAGTTATTATTTTAGTTATTATTACTAAGTTCCGTACTCCTAGATCTACTCTTATATATAATAAGGAATTAGCTAAACTAACGAGGGCTAGTTTTATTATTTATTATTTTTAATTTTTTATACTATTTATATAATTTAATACGCTCTTTTTCGGAATAGTTACTTAACTAATATTTATTTTTTTTATAAATAAAGTATTATTTTTTTTATTACTCTACTCGCGAGTTAAATCTCTATTTATTTAATAAATTTAGACTTTTTTATTAATAATTACCGTACCTAATCTCTTTTTTTTTTTATTATACGTCCGGTTAACTTAATATTATTAATAAGGGCTATTATATTTTTAAAAGTAGGTTTAGTACGGTATTCTTATTTTAATATTAAAACTAAATCTTAGTTTTAAATAGAGCGTTTTATAGTTTTTAAGTACTTAGTATAGGGTTATTTTTATTTTTAATACGTACTAAATTATAATATAAAAATATTTAATTTTTTATTTATTAATCCCCTTATTTAGCTAGGTTTTTATTAGCTTATTAATTCGATTAATAAACTCTTTTAAGATTTTTATTTATAATTTTCTTTTTATTATTTTAGTTATAAATATAAAAAAAATTACTTATAGCTTAAATAGGAGCTCTAAATTCTTATTATAAGTCTTAAAGCGGCTTTAGATTACGTTAATAATATTAAAAAAGTTATTTTAATTAAAATTATATACTATTTTATAATAATAATTAGAGGCTTTACTTACGAGTATAATATTAATTACTAAATAATATTAATATTCCCTAATCCCGACTTTTTTATAATAGTTATAAAATATTATTAGGGTTTTTTATAAAACCTCGTACTTCCCCCTAGAATATAATTTTTTTTTAAAAAGATTTTTTTAAGATTTATAAATTACTTCGTATTTATTATTATATTTTTAGTATTTATATACGATTTTTACGTTACTATATATTATTAATAATTTCGGGTCGTTTATTTCTTTTCTTATTAACTAATTAGTACCGAATTTTATATTAATAATAGTAACGAGCTATAGATTAAAATAAATAGAATTATTAATTATTATACGTTTAGTACTATATTTTGTTTTTATATATCTTTTTATAATAATAAATTACTATTAATAATTATAAGAAAGAAATCTAGGTTATTTACCTTTTTTTTTAAATTTATTAAAGCGATTATACGCTTTATTAACCTACGCCTAGTTCTATAATACGAATTCCTTTTTTATAATCGTCGTTACTAAGATTTTATATAGTTTTTATAATTATAATTATATTAATAATACCTCTTACTTATAAAAGAATTTATTAATTATTTTTATAATTCTTAAGTTTATACTTACGAACTATTTGTTTAGTTAATAACTAAGATCGTTTACGATTTTATAAAATAGGGGTTGCCCTTATAGCCCCTTTTTTTTATAAACCTTAGTTAAATAGATTAATATTATATTAATTTACTTATTATTAAGCTAATCCGTAATCCTATATATTTACGTCCCTTAATAATTTAGGTTAATATTTACTTATTTATAAAGGATTAGGATTTTATTTAGGATCGGGTTTTTTTTTTATTTTTTTTTATTTTAATTTATTAAAAGTCGTACTCTAGCTTATACTTATATTAATAATTATTAATATATTTAATTTTAATAAGAATATATTTAATCCGCGCACTAGCTATAATAAATCCGTACTTTTATTACTTAATAAATTTATTAAAGTCTAAATAATTCTCGCTTTTTTTTACTATCTTACTATTACTCTCGTTTTTACTATTTTTAATAATTATTACTACTTTTTTAAATTACTAATTATTATACTTATTAGGATTTTTTTTTTATTTAGTATAAAAAGTAGGTTTTAATAACTCCTTTTTTAATAATAATAGTAGACGTTTATATTATTATAAAAAGACATAATAATTAGTTTTAAAATCTTTACTAATTACTAATTTCTATTATTTTTTATATTTCTAACCTCCTAAGCCTCGTACTTTCTATAATTTCTAAATTACTTTTTTTTTTAACTTACCTTTTTTAGGATAGTATTTTAAAAAAATAATTAAAAATAGATACTAAGTAGCTCGTAAAAGAGCTAAATAGGCTATTAAGAGCTAAATAGGTTATTAAGTATAGTTAGTAAAGTTAAGCTTTTTTTTTTATAAGATTAAGGACTTAAAAGACTTATTAAAGATACTTATTACTTCGTTATTTATATTAAGTAGGGTTAATTATTTTAAAAATCTTTTTTTTTATAACTTTTTAGTACCCTATTTTATATTTTTTAAGTAGTTTTTTTTTATAACTTAATTATTATTAAATAATTATTATTTATTAATAATCCTTTTTATTATTTAATTAATTTTTTAAAACTAATAATCTCGTATTAGGAGCTTAGTATAAAAAAAGAGCTCTTTAGTAGCCCTTTAGAGGATTTTTTTTTTTTTTTTTAGAGCCGTATTTTCTTAGCCTTTTTTTAAACTAATTATAACTTTAATAAGAGGTTATAAAATTATTTTAGGGTAGCTGCCTTTTTTTTAAATTAATTTTTAAAATTTATAATATTTTTAACTTAATATTATTAAAATTTTTAAATTTCTTTTTCTCTTATTAAACCGTTTTTTATATTATATTTTTAAGTAATACTCGGGAGGTAATCAAGGGGGTTATAAAGAGATTATTTAGATTATAAGTTTTAAAGTTATATTTATAAAATCCTCGGGGTATTAAGCTTTTTTATATACTATAAATTTCTTAATTTAATAACTCTTATATAAGTTCTTATTATACTTATTAAGAATGTTTATATTTAAAAATCCTTTTTTTTAATTACGTAGTACTCTTTTATATTATATTATTAAGCTTATCTATTATACTAATTAATTAAGTAAGTAGCTATTATATAAGTATTTTTTTTTATTAATTTAGCTAGTTAATTTTTAATTACGGGCCGGTTATAAAAAAGTTATTTAGTAAAAAAGCTACTTAAAGTAATAATAAAAAACTAGTTATTTAAGTAGTTTTATTAATTAACGTAGTTTAATATAGTAAACGTCGATTTTTTATAAATAGTAAAGGGCTATAATTACTTAATTCCGTATAGTATTTAAAAATTACCTCTTTTTTTATTTATTTTTATAAGATTAATTAATATAAATTTCTTATCCTATATAATATTAAAAGGTTATTTCTTTTATATAATAAGATATTTTACCGATTTATAATAATAAAATTTAATTACTAATTAATATTAGTATTTTTATTATAGAGTAGTTAGTTCGAACCGTAGGTTAATAAAGAGATTAATTAAACTATATAAATTTCTGCGTAGGTATAAAAAGGAGGTTCTAACCGTAGGTTGGGCTGGCTATGATAATTATAAATAGGGCCCTAATTAGCCCCTGCGTAGTTGGTCGTATGCCGCGGTCGAATTGGACTTCTAATCCGATATAAAGAGAATGGACCACCTACCCTGCTCCGGTTGTATTCACGACGGAGACGGGATATCCAGCACAGTGCCCGGAGACCTTTTTATCGGCGTAGAAGGCACCTTTTGCACCCAATGTGATAACCACGTTCTCGACCCCAACGTTCAGGAAGTCCTGGGCAATACTTGGCCAGGTGCTCTCCGTCACATTATCCGGCATACGGCCGGACATTATCGCAGCCTCGAACTCGTTGACCACGAGATGCGTGATGAACCTATAAAGTTCGGGGTTGATCGGGCTCGCTGGCGCGGCATTCAAGCAGAATGGGATACCAGCGTGACCAGCGGTTTCAATCATCGTCTCAACGACCTCCTTATCGATTTCCATCTGCGCTACGATCAAGTTCGGCCATTCTTCGCCTCCAAATTGCTCAGGGTAGCTGAAATCCTCCTTCTTCCAGGCCGCTGTTGTCCCCGGGCTAAACACACACCGACTATCGTGGGTTTCTTCATTGATCATGACGACGCGTTTGCTGGATGATAAGCTTGGCACCTCTTTAAGGCCAGAGACATCGATATCGTTCTCGAGTAGCCTCTTCTTAAGCCCCTCTCCGTAGTGATCCTTACTAGCCTTGCCAATCATCTTAACTCGAATGGCACCATCGCCCCTGCCTAGCGATGCCTTGTGGTGGCAGGAGCGGTATGTCGAGAGCGCTGTGTTTGCACCCTTTCCGCTCAAGTCTTTCTCGGAATGACTTGCTCTAATGCTCTCTCCTGTCTTTGGAAACCGGGGTACGATCATGATGTGATCAACGCCCAGCGCCCCAATAACTGCGATGGTCTTCATCTCGGGTCCAATCCTGTAACTGTCGACCGTAAGGGTGTTTGATGTTAGCACGTCGGGAATCGTAAAACCGGCCGGTCGTGACGGTGATGGTTATTAATAGGACTGGAGTGTTTGAACAGAAGACCCTCCTTCTTTGTCTGCCCGTGCTCATATCGACCCGGGGATGTCCATGTCTGCGCGGCTCAAAGAAATTGCGACCTCAGACCTGGATGGGACACCTCCAACATGACTCCCGGACTAAGTTCAATACCAATGCAGAGCCCCTTTCTTGTAGTCAAAACTTCTGTCCATCACGGTGTTGATGTCTCCCCATATTGGTAATGTTCGTGTTACGCGTATTTTCCCTAGCCCCTGGATGTCAATCGCCCAGAGCTCATCTGACCGACTCCTTACCGACTCAACAAGCTCTTGGCTGAGTCTTTCCGTTACTTTTTGCGATGATAACGGTAAAGTCAGGGCGCTCGCTCACTTTCCATTCAACGCTTCCCAATTGTGACTTACGAGACCACCCCATCCTACCTCAAGTACTAGTCTCAATGAATGGAATACTCTGCGGTAGGTGGTGTAATGTGTCAGACATGAGGCCTTATGATAGTGTATTGAGGCAACAACTTATAGCCGTCGGGCAATCGAAAGATGGTTCTCCAAGGAGCGGTGTGGCATCTTCATGTTGTTGCTGGACAGCTTTTAGTACATTACATACGTCGCCTACCAACACTATAGAGAGTCAACAAGTCAACACCCTTTCCGATCATTCAGTGACGGCCTGCTATTGGGCTCAATCAGGGAAGATCAGTATATGAGAGCCACTTAGCTATGCAACACGGTAGCACTGTTCATATGACACCAGACCTAGGTACGCCAATATCATACCTTAGGCTAAGAATGGTAACAATACATGCAAGCAGCAACAAGGCTGTGATACCTGCCAAGACAGGTCACCTCTGATAGCCCACGGCCTGCTCCCTGCTGCAGAACAAAGAAGGGCAAGTTTATTTACACTACAATGCAGAGCCTCATGTAGCCAACAATCGGCCAGGTAAGATACGCAGCTTTGGCGGTTAAGATTCACCGCCAGTGCTTTCCTGGAAGCTGACTGGTCAAGTGTTACAAAAGGAGACACTAACGCAGGCTCGTTCACACTCCGATACAACGTCCATACAGTCTCTAAACAGATTCCGGAGGCCAAATTTCCTGAATGGCGGCTCTTCTGATGACCTGAGCACCATGGCTTAAGCTAGATGGTAACATGAAAGTCAAGCCCGCTGCTCATCGTATTTCAGCCAGCCTGTAAGATCGGACACGGCCAAAAGATTTGACAGACGTTGTCTCTTCAATTGGCTCTCAACTTAGTTGCAAACATTACCGCCACTTCACAATATGATAATGAATGATTAATAGTCTAAAAATGATGTGGGGGGTTTTTTTTTTTTTTTCTTTTTTCTTTTTGGTGGGGTTCTAAGACAAATAGTAAGAAAAACAGTATTTCGGCCTTCGAGAGGACGAGAAAGGGAGGGAAAACATTATATCTATAGATATTTCAGGGAAGGAAGAGAAAATTATGAAATGATGAAGAACGAAAAGACTAGAAAAAGGAGACTGAGAAAAGTAAATCGACGCGGGCCTTGCATACCATGAAGGAGCATATGAGTGTATGGCTACGAAAACGCCTCGATCTCCTCAGACCATGGAATGATATCCTGTGGCGCACCGTCTCTCGAACCAACAAGCGCAGCAGCTGCACACGCATTTCTGACTAACTCACCCAAAAAATCTGAATCCACAGCCCCTTTGTTTCCAGCTCGATGCTCAGTAATACCCGCTGCGAATGTCGCCGTGAATGTGTCCCTTGTCGCCTGTGTCAGTGTTGAAGTTGGGAGACATTGAAGAGGGAGAAAAGCTGCTTACCTTTCGATGGCATTATAATTGCCTTTGCGATGATTCTCCTTGAAATCACAAAGGTATGCACTCGACCCCCCCTTCCAGAAGTAGGTAGCTTTCGTGTGTCCTTTGGTTATAATCACATGCTCTACACCCAACCCAACCAATTCTACACCCCTCTCAAACATTTTTTCCAACTGGCTGCATTGAGGGAAAATCTGAAGTTCCTCCTCAGTAACCACAAGATAATTTATGAGTTTCAACTGGTCCTCGGTAATACCATAGGAAGGCACCTTGCCCAAGCAGACCTTCATACGCTCGCGTGCAGCAGTCTTGAGTATGTAATCAAAGACCTTCTCTTCAAATTCTGTAGAAATGACGACCGCACCTGGTATGAAGACCTTATGTACGCGTTTGTCAACGGATTCGGGAATGAAGCTGAAATTTTCCATCCATTGGGTGGATGTAGCCAGTGTTTCAGCAGGATTCAACCGAATTCGTTCCTCTCCGTTGGGTCGTATGAGGTGGATGTTGACGTTGGTTCTCTTGAAATAGCATTCTTTGATGCTGTCTGTATTGGGTCCCATTGTCCCCAGTAGAGACTTCACCATATGGCCATAATGGTCCCTCCCGACTCCACCCTGCACATGGACGTCGATTTTGGTCAAGAGGTTTCTGCGATTATCGGTTCTTAAAGCATTCACCAGTTCTTTGGTGTAGCAGGAACGATGTGCTGCAATTGCGGTGATTGCGGAACTTCCCTCCACAATTTCGTGGTGGAATTCTGGCTTCTCTGGGTCGACGCGTATGTTTAACTGGAAATCATCTCCGAGGGCTACAACCCTGTAAGTATGCGATGCCGCGGCCATGCTGCAGTTTTGAAACTGGAATCGATTCGTAGTGAGAGGATGATAAAGGTCAAGCTTTGTGGTCGTGGTGTGGTTTCTTATGGAAGCAAGGCAAGAGAACACCAGATGCTCATTCTTGAGTGTTTACTTATAGGATTGGAACGAACAGAACAGGTGAACAGAAGATGCCCATCCATTCATATGACTTGTAGGCCTTGGATGGATGAACAGAAGAGGTCATTCTTTGTTGACAGTTACAGGATTTGGACGGGTGAACACAGGATGTTTGTTCCCGAGTGTTTGCTACAGAATTGGCGTAAAATGCTGAACAGAAGATGCTCATCCTTTGCCTGGCCCCGCGTACCGCATCGATACCCTCCCGTGTTAATATTGTCTCCTATGTTGAATGTTCTCTTCTGTTCTCGCGGACTGCTTACCAGAACATCTTCTTTATTAATCAAAATCATTCGCTTGCAACTGTTATGCTTCTGCCAAGACCCATGGCTACCTGACAGGATCCCTCGACCTTCCCTGATTCTCAATCGCCCACAGCTCACCAAACCGACTCCCCTCCGTCTCAACAAGCTCCTTCGGGCTGCCCGTCTCGATGACGCGCCCCTGATCCATGACGATCACCGCATCAAAGAAGTCCATCACCATATCCAGGCGATGCGACACCATCACAATCGTATACGTCCTAAACTCCTCCTTGATAATCTCCTGCATCAACCTATCCGTCGCGTGATCGACGCTGGAGCTGACCTCATCCAACAACAAGATCCCGCCGCCGCGCCGCTTGAACTTGGCGTCTTTGACCCGGCGTCGCAGGATCGCTCGCCCAAGGCTGAACAGCTGCTTCTGTCCCGCGCTAAGACTGTCTGCACTCATGGATTCGCGCAGGCCTCCACGCTCTTCGACAAAGGTGCCGAGTTGCACGGCGCGGAGGACTGAGAAGCACTCAGCGTCTGTGGCTGCGTTGAAAGGGTCGATGTTCGCTTTGATGGTGCTGCCATCGGGGAGGAACACGGCATCTTGGGGCACGGAGATGATGCGGCGGCGGAGAGTTGATCGGTCGATGCGGTGGAAGGGGATGCCGTCCATCTCGATGTTCTTTGGTGAGGACGATACTGGGTCCAGAAGCCGGAGGAGGAGAAGAATGAGTGACGATTTGCCGCTAAGGGGATGAGGTCAGCATTCGTACGCTTCATGGGCAGTCCGATGCAAAGGTGAACTTACCTTCCCGTTCTGCCACACAGTGCAACCTTTTGGCCAGGCTGGATGGAGAAGTTGAGGTCTTTCAATGCGAGATGCGGAAGAGTTGTCGTGCCATCCGATGTTGCTTGCTGTTCATTGCTTTTACATATTGTCAGCGCCGTCTACAAATGGGTTGGGCTCAACTTACTTGTATGAGGCAGAGACGCCGTTGATCTCGATGCGCCCCGTCTCAGGCCACTCTTCGGGCGGCTCTATATCCTCACCTTCGAGGTCTTCAGGGCTAACCTTCTCGGAAAAGGTCTTGATACGAGAAACAGCACCGATCGAAGTCTCGAGCTGGGTGTAGAACCGGACAAGTGATGAAAGGGTCTCGCCCCACGACATCAGAGTGACTAGAGAGGCACCCGTGAAGCCTGAGTTGGCTCGGAGCTGGGTGGCAAGGGTCACAAGAATGACGGCTAAACCGGCCACCATGAGCTGCATCGTGACGACGAGCCATTGCTGGATCATGGCGAGTAGATATGCCGGTCGTTGCGAGGTATCCAACATGTGCTGGTTGTGAGCAATGTCCTTGTGTGCCCAGCCAAAGGCACGTATCGTGGCGACGCCCTTTATGGTGTCAAGGAAATGCGTGCTAGCAACTGTTAGTCAGATACTCTGTAACCGCCTAGTCTTTCGTGTACATACTACAATGGGCTTTTGGACTCGAGATCCAGGAGTCGTAGCTGGCGAGAAGTCCGAAGGTAGAACTTTTGGATGATCCAGCAGAAAGCAATCAACAAGGGATAGCTAACAGCCATGTAGGGGGATGCAACGGCGACTACAGCACCCATACCTATTGACTCGAATCCGGCCAGCACAGCATTAAGCAGCGCCATCGGTAGCTCGTTGTCGATAAGTGTCATGTCCTGGGAGAAGAGATTTGTGATGACGCCAGAGTCTGTTGTAGTGAAGAATGTGAGAGGCGCGTGGATGACAGTCTTCAACGCTTGCTGATGTAAAATGGTGCCGGAGGAGGTGGTCATGTAGATGATCAAGGCAACACCTGCCACCATGAGAGAAACGAGCTGCAACGCCTTGAAGAGGCCGAACAATCCGACGTAGTATCCGCTGCTTTTGTGAAGGGTATCTTCGGCCCAGTACTTCATCCAGATCGTAGGAAATTGGTTCCACACGGAGTACGATGCGGAGAAGAGAACGAATATGATGGTTGATGTTAAGCTCAGACTACGGAAGTAGTGGGCATAGACCCTCACGTCTCCCGTCTGTCTCGACTTCTCCATCATCTCGTCGGCAACGGCCGGAGCCCGCTTCGCTTTCGGAGGTTGACCGGTGATGGGTTTATTGGAAGTCTCAGACCCGAAGTCGGAATCGGTATCAGAGTCTGTGGCCTTCACCCCAAGACTGGCAACATACTTCTTATCGCGCATCAGGTCGGCAAAAGTACCTTCCTCGGCAAGAGTGCCATCCGTCCCCAAGGCGATGATGTGATCTGCCAGTGGCAGGTACTTGATCGCATGTGTGCAAAGTACTGCTGTTGATTTCCGTCGGCGAATGATACCGTCGAGTCCAAACACCCTTCGAAAGACTTCGGACGCTGTGTCATTGTCAAGCCCGCTTAGGATGTCGTCGAAAATGAGGAGATCGCTATTCAGGTACAGGGCACGCGCCAGTGACACACGCTGCTTCTGTCCACCGCTAAGCATGATTCCGTTGCTACCAATCTTCGTATCGTCACCATAGGGGAGAAGCAGAAGGTCCGTCTGAAGCATACATGCGTCGATGATCTCGTCGTATCTGGCTTGGTTGAAAGTCGACCATCCGATAATGTTGTCTTTGATGGAACCGTTTGACAAGAACGGGTTCTGCTCGCAGTACCCGATGGCAGCGTTGCGTGATGGCACAGAGACCAAGCCGGTGTTGAATGGCACTTCACCTAGGAGAACCTTGCACAGGGTGGACTTTCCTGATGCTACAGGCCCAACCACGAGGGTGAGCTGAGCGGCCGGGATAGAGGCCGTGATATTGTGGAGCACCATCTTATCCGCCGTCCAGCCGAAACTGCCATCAACAAGAGAAATCGCTGGCCTTGAGCTGCTGAATTCGGAGTCTTTCCGATCCGGGAACGTTTCCAGAGAAATGTCATCCGAGTTGTCGCGAAACGGGCTCTCCTCGGACGACCTCTCCTGGAATGCCGAAGGATGGGCAGATTGCCGGAAATCAATGCGTGATTCTCCTTCGATGTACTTTTGAATCCGATTAAGACAAGTGAAGGCCGCGATGATGGTCGGAACAGACTGGAAAAGCTGGCCTAATGGGCTGTTTAGAAGGACCAAGAATGAGAAGGATGTGAAGATGGTCGTAGTATCCAGACGTTCTTGCGCGAAGACGAACGTAATTGCGGGAGATAGCATGCTCGGAGCCAATGCAGCAAGCGCCGTAACGATGATCAGCCAGCGGAATTGATTGCCGATGCGCATCTCCTCCACGCGCATTCTCTGGACAAACTCTGCGACAGGCTGCGTGATGCCGGAGATGCGTAAGTACTTCATGTTGGAAATGACATTTGCAGTCAGTCCAACGCGCTTCTGAATCTGAGCCATCCAGCGAGACTGGCGCTCACCGGTAAACTTGGCTACGGCAGCGGTGACGCCGGTGCACACGAGAATGACAATGAGAGGCGCGACGAAGGCTGTACCGAGCTGGCCCTGTAGTAGCCAACATCCAAGTGCAATTTCGATGACGTTGGCCCAGATTTCGTGCAGACTGTAGAAACCACGGACGATACGCTCGGTGTCAGTACTCATGAGAGTCACTGCCGCCGCATCCCCGGTGTCTGTGAGCGCGGCTTCGGTGGTCTTCTTGTAGATAATTGCTGATAGGCAGCCCCGAGACATGTACAAGGCTCGCTGCTGAAAGTAGTAGTACAGAGCCGTGGAGACGGCGATCCCCGTATAGATCAGAACAGCAGCCCCGATAAGACCGTAGCTCATGTTATTCGACGCGTTGTCATCTTGCAGGTACTCGAGAAGAGTTTGGATGAAGAAGGGTTGGCTGAAGCTGAATCCGATGAGGGCGATCCGTGGGGCGACAGGCAAAAGTAGAGGGACAGCCAACGCCTTGGCTAGGTCTTTTGCGAGCCCGTGGTTTTTGCCGCGGTTCTTGCCCTTCTCGAGTTCTTGAGCGAGATTAATTTGCATCGTCTCGGCTATCATGCCACGGTCGAGAGCATACAAGTCGCCGATCTTTAAGACGTTGCGATAACCGTGGAGGAAGAGGCGATTTAGCCACCAGTAGACGCCTAGACTGAACAAGCCGCTTGTCTCCTCCGGGCTATGTTCTTCGGCGGTCCAGCGAATCCATCGTGATTTCCTCTGGGCCTCGATGATGAGGATGGCAAGCTTTATCACCAGCGAGGCCGTGAACAGTCTTGCGAACAGTTGTGTTGAGAAAGTCCTAGCTACCAACCATGACGTCCTCGTTTGAGCAATGTCAAAGAGAATCTGGAGAAAAACGTAGCCGGTCAAAAGCAACGAGGGCCTAGGTGCTCTGGAGTGTTCGGCATACGATAATCCGACCATGAAAAGAGCGGCGAGGAAGCCGAGAGCTGAGGCCGAGGCGGCAAACCCATCTATGCGCGAGCCACTGGAAGTTGTCTGTAGAATGAGAATTGCGAATTGCAGCGTTGCAAATACTGTTATGATGGCCTAGACGAAGGGAAATTTAGAACCAAGTCTCAGATGAAGTTTGCCGCCATGGACTACTGTCACCTACCAATTTTACGGTTTGAAATGTTTTGGCACCAACGATGCGCGGTTTGCGAGCAAGGTAGGCAACGCGCGGAAGTGAGAGAGCGATAAAAACGGCTGCGGGGATGATGGCTAAGAATATCCTCTCGAACCGAAGAGTAAAATCAAAATCACCGCGGCAGCCTTGAACACTAGGCCCGAGGGAGTCGTCGTTGAGACATCTCGAGCTCATTGTTCAGATCGGTCTTAGCAGTGAGCGTTGATGTATGTAATGTCTCGTCAAGGGTGCGCTATTCGCTGAGAATACCAGGGGCCAATGCTGGGTCAAACTCAATGGCTTGAATGAGTGTGAGATTTGTTTGGCGGAGAGGGCAAAGATGGGCAATCCGAAAGCTATGAGAAACCGAAGAGACTTAATCGATTAATCAAGAGGCTTGTCAAACAAGCTTAAATGATCGCACCCCAACCATGACTGGGCGAGCCACGAGGTTGAGCTTACTTCTCGGGCCCGGCGTTGATGCCTGTTGTTGACTCACGTCAGGCGACATCTTTTCTGATCTGACCAACAAGTTTGCGCAATCTTTGCCAAGTTGACGCGGAGCCTTAGCGAAACATAGCTGCTTTGCAAGTATCAGAGATGAGCTACGAGTCCATGTCGTCGTGTCGGCGGCAAAGATTGAGAACGTAAGCACTGAGACTGCCCTCGCCATCATTGGGAGGCTTTTGGTGAGCAAACGCCATTGTACCCAGAGAGTCGGCGGGACAAAGTGCCGATTCATGTCAGACTGCAGCGATTGCTGAGCTCGCACCGGGTAACAGCCGACGCGCCATGTCGAAAGAGGAAGGTCGAATGCGTTCGGAATTTTGCTTGGTGGTTTCTCTCATGGAAGATAGAGCCTAGAGGATAGCACGGCGCGCGGCCAACAAAAGTTCTGCATCGAAAGAGACGCGTGGAGGCTCTAATCTCTTCGGACCGCCTCCGACTAGGACACCGTTTGTTGGAAACATGATGCTCGAATTTGAGGTTCAATCTCCGCCAGAGTAAGACCGGAGTCTCCGTGTTAGGGTTCCGCATCTCAAGGCCATGCCAGATCGATAGATAGGATTACGATCCTTGCCAAGCACATCTTTGCCGCGAGGGACAACCTTGGTCGGCCGAAAGAAGGGGCATATGATATCCACATCGCCGGCCGTTGAAGTTTGGCGGGTTTGCACTGGATTACTTTGGTGTCTTGGGGCACTACCCACAGCTACTACAGCTGATGACGACTGGTTCGAAAATTGCTGACAAGTCGACACCCGTAACAAGAATTAGCGAGAAATAACACTGCAAGATAGTCAGGATAGACGCGTTGACTTGGTGCAGACGACACTTTCGCAACCACGAATCTGGTGACGAGTCCAACAGCGATTCATTTGGAGCCTGTTGCTGATCGTCGCATGCTGACTGGGGACTGGGGCAGAAGAGTTTGGGCAACTTCGACATCTGTTAACAGCAGTAAAAAGAAGAGTCATCCCAGGGTACTCTGCGGTCATCGTCTGTCTGATGTCAGTTGCTGCACGGCATTGGTTGTTGCACGAGGCAAAGCGGACAGTTGCGAATCCGAAGCTTTGAGAAAGTTGGTGGGGTTGAGCAGTGCGGGGAAATTGACCGGGAATATTCAACGTTGATTACCTAATGTCCCGTGGGTCGGATGTTATTATGTAAGAACTCGGGAAGTCAGCACAGCCACTGTGGAAGACCACCAGCCTCAACCTCACGCCATACTTCATCCATGACAAGATCTCAAGCCACGCCAACTCCTAACCTTTCTCCCAGAACAAAGAGTCTGAGTGTTAACAGCTGGATACAGCTGGCCTCCCCCCTCCAGCCAAGAATCCGAACCCGAACCGAGCTGCTCGCGTCGTATTGCTGCTGCAGATTCCAGTACCGCTGTGCAGCTGCCAGCACACTGCAGAGCACAGCACATGCATAGGCAGCTTCCGCTCGGCCTCGCAAGCTGAAGCTAATCCATCCAAACCTGGCGTGCCTGGAAGCATGTTGTCATCTCCTCCGGCCGGCACCGCTGTCCGACCCTCGGAGCACACAGGATCGGCCACGCTGCCAACTCCCCAACAGCCTGCCAAGCTTCAGCGTCAGGCGATGCATGATTCCAAGACCGAGGCAATAGCCATCTCCAACCAGACCAGGCTAAGCCGAGCTGACCTTGGATTTTTGTGCTTCTGAGGTGGACTGATTATATATCTGAGAACAGAAAACATTAAAAAGGGCCAACAATTCCCAAGGGGTTTGCAGAATTTGGGCACACCGTCACGTACCATATTGGAACCTAACAATCACAAACACCAGTCACACATAGACACGTCAGGTCTTTGGATTCACCAACAACCTCTAGGTTGGAACAGGGTTCATTTTCCACCGCTCATCTACGGAATCATAAACACGAGCACTCCCTCGAAGAACCGAACATTGGATCACAACCACCCAGGAGGAACTCATCGAGACCAAGACAGTTGCCCTCAGGAAGAACCAATCATCGATATACCTGGCAGGCAACCCCCCCCAAAAGACCACAAAAAACGCCCAGCATGTGCATCGTTCTACTCACCACCGCCCATCCCGACTACGCTCTCATCGTTGTCGACAACCGGGACGAGTTTATCCTACGCCCAACGTCCCGCCCGCACTGGTGGACCCATCCTTCCGGCGCTACTGTTCTCTCTGCCCGTGACCTTCAGAGAGCGGAGAAGGGCACCTGGCTCGGCATCACCAAGACCGGCCAGCTCGCAGTCCTCACAAATTACCGCGAGACAGACACACAGGATTCCAAACACCCCATCCACGCTGCCCGCAGCCGTGGAGGCATGGTCACTGCCTGGCTTGGGTTCGACCCCACAGAGCCCGCTTCAACATCAGTGAATCACCTCGTCAAGGATGGTGGTGTCAAGGGCGTCGGTGGCTTTTCCATGGTAGCAGGCAAATTGAAACGAAAGCGCGGCACCGACGAAAAGCCCGAACATGCGCTCGAGGGTATCGCCATCATCTCCAACCGGTGTGATGACCTGCAGGACGTACCGTGGATCGGAGAACAGCGGGGCGAGGTTTACGGTCTTAGCAATACCGTGTACGACGACCCCAAGCCGTGGCCCAAGGTTGAGAATGGAAAACGTCTGGTCAAGGAGGCCATTCAGGAAGCTGTTACGGACAATCTGAATGAGGATGCTCTAGCTGAGCGCCTATTCAAGGTCCTGGATACCGATACGCTTCCCAAGCACCCTGATATGAGCCTGGCGGACTACATCAAGGAGTTGAAGCAATCCATCTTCGTACCTGCCTTGGGCGACGAGAGCCATCGAAAAGCCATGGAGGAGGCAGTCTCCAGAGGCCCAGGTCAATGGGCCACGGATGACCAGAAAGCAGCCGAAGGCCTACAGCTGGGCGAACGACCCGATCCTCCTGCCCAAGGCACCATGGGCTTCGAGGTGGGTTTGTACGGGACACAGCGGCAGACCATCATCATGGTTGACTGGGACGGCAACGTGACATATCGCGAGAGAGCATTGTGGGATGGCAATGGTAACGTCATTGAAAGAGGCCAAGGTGACGAGGTCTTCAAGTTCAAGATTGAGGGATGGGAGAACTGAAGAGTCTGGCTCGTATAGAGACGGTATTGCATGTAAAGGGCCTCGCATCATCGGCATCGGCGCTGGAGGTTGTCTTTGCCCCATGCATCATGTTTGACATGGCATACTTAATGAGACAAGGAATTATGAGCATTTGAAGTCACAGTAAGAGCGAGGCTTTGATGGGGAGTGATGGGAAGTGACGTTCAGCGGATATACATTGATATGGTAGAAGCTGCCTCCCTCACCTGGTTTGGAAGAAACATCGCGGCAGGGGCATCGGAAGAAGTTGACGACGATGGCAACGACAATGGCACTCGACCTTCCTCTCGCGATGAGTCTCAACCATCTTTCTCTGTCGCTCGGCAAGAGCTGCATGTGAGTCGACATCTGTTCAAGGTCCTCGACCGTGCGCTCGATGTCGACGCGTCCTCCAAACATCCAACAACATCAGAGCACTTTTTCATCTGAACCTCACTTTTGGCTCACCTCGCCACGGCTGCGATACACCGCTCTGGCTGCGTATTCCAACACTGAAATTCTCGCCTCGTCTGATTTAATTCTTGTAATTCACTTTCCTCTCCAGACAATGTCCCCCGCCGGGTCCGGATCGCTTGGCCTGGTCCTACTTGCCCACACCACTCGCTGCATCATCACGATTTCGTACTTCTGCATCGACCTGGCCAACGCCAACCTTCGCCTTTTTTCTCTTTGGGCCAAGTCTTGTTTTCTCGCGGCTAGTCTCAACTTCCATTCCTTCACTCAGTCCATCGCCATCATTGTTGCCTCTTCAAAGCACGCCCTTGGAGCCAGCCAGGTAACTATCACCGTCCTCATTTGGGCGATTCCCTACATCATTTTCCTTGAGTGCGTCCTGTATGTTGCCGCACTCATCATTCTGCTGGAAAAATGCGAGACCGTCTATCTGCATCTTCGTTCCTCCCGCTTCGGAACCGCAATTCTCGGGGACCAAAACACACCATGTCGCGCCCAACCATCTCAGGACCTCTTGGGCCTGTCCAGCGTAGCAGCGGACCGGATCTTGAGCGTGCCGAAGCATTCACCGTCGTTTCGAGCATCAACGACACCGAAAAACAATACTCAGACATCTCCCAGCCGACCTCAGACGCTGATTCGGGAAGAGGCCATTCGACTCTTGGCCCTACTCGACAAGGTGGTATCCTCAAGACTTCCCAAGCAAGCAAAGCTTATGGAGCCCTCGAGTCTGTCAATCCCGACCATCGAAAATCCCAAGGAGAAACCAACCCGCCTCTTCAGCGGCAGGATGTCCTATCCGGTCGTGGAAGCTACCAACCATATCTCACTTCTCAAAGACAAGCTACTGTCAAAGATCGTCGAGTATTGGGGGAGATTTCCCACGCCAACGCTGACAATACGCGCATTCCATATTCAGATGAGCCCGCTCTTACGCAGTGCGAGAGACTTCATTCCCAAGAGAACCAGCTCATATCGCCTTCAGAAACAGCAGCCCAACTGTCCATGGCAAGACCTCATGGAGTTAGACGACTGTCAGCCAGTTTCACCACAGGCGGACCGTTGTCCAGCAATCCAACTATCGCCAGCTTCCCCGTCATGGCCATCAAAAATACCACACACCTGCGAGGGCCGCCTCATACATCCGTGCCTCCCGAAATCGAAAGAGGTGCGGAAGAGACGATTGAAAGTTCTGGCGGAAACAGCCCTGAACTCGGAGGTCGTCGAAAGCAATCAAGATCGCCCAAAGGCGGAATAGAGAAGCAGCGACTACCTAAATCTCGCACTTTTACCGTTCTGTCCAACCTCACCGCCTCTCTCTCTAGAACATCTCTAGCCAGCTTCACGGGAAGTGATCGTAAGGCCTCTCTGCAGACAGTGGCATCTCGCAAGACCAGCAGTTCTTCGACTCTTACAACTAGCATTCCGACTAGAACCCCCACCCCCATGTCTCCTGAGGTCAACCCACTCATCATTACGACAGCGCAGCCATCGGCTTACTGGTCAGGTCGTTTCATGTCTCTACAGGATCGTTTCCAAGGCGAATCCCTTCAAGAGCAGACTCTATCAATCTTTGTCACAGCCCACGCCTCCAAGGCCAGTATTCTTGCGCAACAACGTGCCGCCTATCAAGGCCGTGGCAATCTACCTCTCAGCACCACAACAGCCCTCGACCGCTACGGCACTGCCGCTATCCAAGAAGCTAAGCGACTCTCGGACGAAGATAATTGCAGTCTCCGCATCTTCCTCCACCTCCAAGCACTTTGCGGTACGCCCGAGGCCCAGAAAAGCTTGCACGCTCTGAGGTACGTCGCTATCGAAGGGTTATTGTAGATCATGGTTATTGGCGTTTCACTTCATTTGTTTGGTTTGTTAGGTTTGTTTGGACTTGGGAGGGGGGAAGCTGGAGGTGTACAGGGACGGAGGCATTAACGCATTGTTCGATTCGGTCAAAAAGAGTCTTTGTCGTACAGGAGGAGTGTACGAGGAAAAGGACTCTTATGCCCATGCATTGTTTTTAGATGGCGTTCACCAGAGATAGAGGTTACCAGAGACGAAAAGTTAGCTGTTAAGAACAATACCCATTTACTTTCTACACCAGCCTGAACCATCTCCATCCCAAAAACGCCTGCCAATGCATGTAGCCGCCCTGCAATATACCTGGAGCGCCTCTAGACCTGTGCCTAGGTCTATCTATGTCTCTCGAAATAGCACCATAGCGCCTCTGTCTAATCCTCAGCCTTCTTTCTCAACTTGAGGTAGTCCCTAATTTGCTCGTGTTTGCTAGCAAAGAACATGCCAAGCTTATCGTTGCGCCATGTCAATACGCCAATCTCTGCCGCGTAGCCCGCAATGTCCTCGTACTCCCTAGGACTGTCGAAATCACGGAACAAGAAGCCGCTCGTGGTCGTCATGCGTTCTGTCTCGAGCTGCCACAGCCGGATTTGGTCGACGACGGTGGGTGGCAGGACGGGCCGGTTCCGTACCGCGGCCATGCGGTGCATCTGTTCGTGGGCGTGGGCGGCGAGGTACGAGATGATCTGGTCGGCTGTGATGCCGCGCTCGACGGCGTTGCGAATCGAGTTACGAGTGAGGCGGCCCGATACCATGTCGGAGAAACGCAACTTGAGCTTGCAGAAGAGTGAGAGGACTGCGATTTGGAGCGGTGTCTGGCCGTAGGCGTAGATGCGGTAGTTCGTCTCGACGATGATGCTGCCGCCCTTGTTCTCCTCGCTTCCGCCGGGGGTCAGGCCGTTAGAGGGCCGTGGACCAGTGGCTGCAGCGAGAGCCGCGGAGAAGCCTGCCCCTGCGCTGCGAAGAGCGCTGGAGCTGCTCGTAAGTGTCGTAGCCAAGCGGGTTGGGAAGTATTGTTGGGTTTTGTGTTGGGGGATATAGATGAGGCCAAAGTCGAGGAGACTAGGGAGCATGTTGCGCCGTGGTTCCGTGAGGGCCTGGGTGTCGTAGGCTCTGCCGAGCTCGAGACTCGCGAGGAGGAATAGGAAGCTGAGAGCGTCGGTGCTCTCCATTCCCGTGACGGCGGAAGCGTGCTCAGTGGCTTCGAGCCAGAGCAGTAGGAGGGTCCAGACCTGGGCGTTGGCCTCTTGAAGGAGGAAGGTGAAGCCGGCCTGTGTGATGCCGACGGCACCGTTGGCGCGACGTACGAGCGCACCGGCGGCGAGCAGATCCTTAACAGACGCCTTAGGTCCGCTGACGTCGGCGCCGCCGGGGTTCACGGTGTTGACTATGTAGTGGAGGATGTCCTCCCACTTGCGACGGGCGTAGCGATCGAGGAACGGGACGGTGATTTCGGGCGGGATGGGGAGGGAGGAGGGCACGCCGAAGGAGTTGTGGGATCCGCCGCCTTCGAGTGCGAGCCGTAGCGAGTTTTTGAAGTTTGTCGTGAGCTGCATCTCTTGTGGCCGTTCTTTGGAGGGAGGTGTGATTTGGAGGATGTGCAGGCTGCGAAGGGTCGAGATTGCCTGGTCTTTTTGCCTAAGTGAGCAAGATGATGTGTTAGACGGCGCCAGTATGTGACTAGTTGGACTTCAGCGCGCACCTTCTTGAGTCCGGCTTGACCCAAACATCGAGGTCCTCTAGCAGCATAGGCTGCGGCATGTATAGGATAGCCATGACGATGGTTTTCGCTGGGCTTCTGGGTCAGCGACCTTGCTCTTTCTCCAATAAAACAACCCAATGCCCAGAGTTATCGACCCTAGGGGGGGTCATGGCTTCTCACCCAGCGGCGGAATCATCCTGCGGAAGATGGCAAAGGCCGTAGAGGGTTGCAGGTACAGCTTCCTAAAGGTCGTGCCGGGCAGCTTCTCCAGGTAGTCGGCCAGCTGGAGCGATTGACCCGAGCTGACCGACATGATGGGCGATTTGCGCGCTGGGTTTTGGGTAGAGGAGGGAACGAAGATGTGAGTCGATGTTATCTCATGTTCGTATGGGCGGCGGGGGGTTTCGGACTCGAGTTCGGAGACGGGTGGTGAGTCGAAGTGGTAGAGCTGGCGTGGATTGTAAGAGTTCACGATGGTTTGCGACCAGGCGAATTGCACGGCGCAGCAATCATTCAATCATCAACTGGGCAAGCAGGGGTCTACGGAGGTTTCCGCCTTAGGCAGGGGCTCTCGTGGGTTGTGCCTGGCTGGAGCTTGGGGGTTTCTTATCTTATCGAGATGCCGATAAGAACTGTTATCAGCCAGAGATAGGTACGTACTGTCGTCCGCACGTCATATTCCCCGTCGTGAATCCCTTCCCGAAGCTCGCCGAGTTCACCTTGAAACTTATTCTCGCCAATTCTCATCACTTTGCCCACCGTCAAAAGCTCAAATATGGCCCCAAAGCTGCCTCCGTTGCGTTTCGTGCGCTCAGTGAGTTTGTACGTCAAATTATGGCCGGCAATTGAGTCTAATTGCCCCTTAGGTCTTCAACTCCTTTACCAAAGACTCTGGACTTGAGCCGAGGTAAGCTGGCTTGCATACATTCTGTGGTCACCTAATGAGTACTGACACGACAGACTTCTTGGCAACAACGTATGTTCGAATCTTCATGCATATGCGCGATACCTTACTCACAGCTGAGCAGTTTCGAGTGACTGGCGCATCGGTGGGCAAAGTGGATTTTGAGTTGGCAGTCCAAAAGGAGCACACGGTACGTCTCCTCCATGTCCGCGCATAGCAAAAGGAGCCATTTGTTGAGCCAAATCGATCCATAGAACCGCCTTTCCACGATCCATGGCGGAACCCTTGCTAGTCTCGTTGACCTCGGTGGCTCTCTCGCCGTCGCTTCCAAGGGACGGTTCATGACCGGTGTCTCAACTGACATCAACGGTGAGTATTCAAGTCTATCTATCGGCTCTCACAATTCACTCCATGACCACTTGTGAACTTGTCAACTGACTGCAATAGTCACGTATCTAAACCCTGGAGGCAAGCCAGGCGACATCATGACAGGCACCGCTACCTGTGATAAGAGTACGTTGTAGCCCTGTCCTAAGTAGCGAGCTCAAACTAATTCTTCGCAGTGGGCAGAACGCTTGCATATACAACAGTCACTTTCTTCAATAGCAAGGGCGAGTTGGCTGCAAGAGGAAGCCATACCAAGTAGGGATCTTCCTTAGCACGATCCAGCACTTTGCTGACTTATATCCAGGTACATTGCCAAGACCTGGGGATCAGAGGACTTCGTTGCACCTGAAGAGTACGTTGCTGAAGAAGAGAAATGAAACGTGCGGTGGACCTAGGGTGTATAGGCTCCATTCAACAAAATCAAAGTGAATGGAGGTACGATGTATTAGATATCGTGTATTCGTAAGTCAGAAGCATCGAGTATCATCACGCATTATCTGGTATCATGCTGTTCCTCGCTCGTCCCAATTCCCAACCAAACTAGGCGTAACTATCACGCCCCCTAGGCTCTACCTGCAAGAACGGAGATCTTCAGATAAACCTTTCATTTGCTGCCGACCCCCCGATTGGTCTCCACCGAATCAATATACGCTGTTGGCAGTGGTAATATGGGCTCCCGATGCCTCTTCATCATTCAGCTTTGCAGGCTGCACTGAGTCCTCACGGGTATTGAGGCCGTACTTATCCTGAGTGGCCAGGAAGTAGAGCATGATGAAAACGGCGAAGCTGCCCAAGATACCGACGACTAGCGAGACAATGTTGAACCAAGTGTAAGTATCGTAGTTGTAGTAGTAGTAACCGTATTGCGAGGAAAGCTGAGCAAAGAGCGACCAGACTGCACGGACAAACCAAATAATGCTGATTGCGAGCGCAACGTTCGAGGCCTAGCCATCATATGTTAGCACTCAGACTGAACCTACAACCGCATCACCCAATACTGAGAGACGGTGGGAAATGAAGCAAAACTGACCTTGTGTAGAGGACCCTTGAGGGCGTTCTTGCGAACCAGGGCAATGTACGTGATAGCACCGATAGCGCACAAGAGGTTGAAGATGCCACAAATGAGATCGAAAATCTGAGCCACCAGTCTTCTCATCATCACCCTCTCGTAATCGCTGCTGTTATAGCTCCAAGAATAGTAACCCTCTCTGGTACTCAGCCAGAGGCACATTGCTGTGAAGCTGAGCACCGAGATCAAGATGACGGCGCCGAAGGAGAACGACTTCCCAATCCGGAAGCGTTTTGACGTCTCGTCGACGCGGAGGAGGGTGAATGCGCGGGCGAGGTAGAAGAGCGCCAGGAAAGTCAAGGCCTGGCTGACGTCGAAGAACCAAGAGAGGATATTCGAGGTGTATGTGATAAATTTGGCCAATGTGGAGTCGTACGTATATGTGCTTCCATGTGCGAGAGAGATGATGTTGAGAATGACGTAAAAGATTTCGGAACTGGAGACAATGCTAATGTTAGCCGCCGTCAAACAGATGGAGTTGTGGTGCTTACAATAGCCATAGCCCCAGGGCTGCTTTGGTGATGGCCACCCATCGGCGAGTGGGGTCATGATAGCTTTTTGATGTCTTTCGGAGAAGGAGAATGAAGAATACGGAGCCTGCGACAGCAGCTAGAGCGCTCACAACAGTGTATACGATCCCCACGATATTTTGAGTATCATAGTAACCCATGTTTGCAAGCGCGTTGTAATTCCAGTTCTCTGTAGCAATATTACCTGAGTCTGTTTTTCGCGAATATTTGGATCGAGTCTGTTGTTATTGTTGAGTTGAAAGGATGGATAATAGGCTGGGCTACAAAAGTAAGTCTGTCCTTCTCCCCTGACTTAAGTATGGCCAGCCGTCAAACAGAAATGAGCGGTCTCACGAGCATAGCCTGCTCAACATCCGCTTTGGATTCTCGCCTACAAGTGTCTCACCC